TCCAGCAATTTAATTATTTAGCCATATAAATACCATATTTTCTTACATATAATATGCCATCAAAAATAACACACACCTTGATTTTGAAAGGCAGGAGAAAAAAAAAGAGATTCCCAGAGTTATGATTGCATAGAGCAGAAACAGAGCCTAATTTTCAGCTGACTCACCCTCCCTTTCCTGCATAAGCAAAGCTACACCCTGCTACTGAGGACCAGTCCCCATGGGTAGATCTATGATTCTGATAGAGCTAATGTCTGAATGAAAAGAGGGTATGAAATGGGGCACTTTTGCTGTATATTGGCTGCTCCTGGACCAAGAAAGGTTGGCTTGATTAGTAGAACATAAAGACTATTAACAAGAAGTAACAATCCTTAACAGCTGTACAGTGAAGAACAGTAAGTCAACGGACTCCTTCAGCTGTCTGAATAGTAATTACCACAGCTCTGCACCATGGAACAGGAATCTAATTAGGACTCTTCCAACCCTGGGCAGAAAATCATCTTCCCCACTTAATTCACAGACCCCAATTTCAGACAGCTGATTTTGGGGCAGGGGGGGTTAAGCGTGCACTGTGTGGGATAAAATACAGTATTCATACTTGATCGTTCTACATATATTTTCCTTTGTAGAGGTTCTCCTCTTAAGTAGTGCTAATATGCAATGTACAGTTTAGCTCAGATTTTTCAACAATATGAGATTAGACACATGCAGGTCTGGGCTCCCGCAGATATCATCCTACTCCATTCAGTCAACAAGAGAAGTTTCATATTTGGCTTGCTAGATATTTAGGATTGTTAACCAGCATAGAAAACAAAGTCAGAGGTTATATGAAGTGCCATTTTTAAAGGCAGATACATAGAGGGACTTGTATAGATGCATGTAAGTGTATATGTATGTGTACACACACACACACACACACACACACACACAGATATATATAAATATGTATACATACATACACACATACTTATAGAGGGACTGATATACATGTGTGTATTATACATATATAGGCAGACAAGGTTCTTTGGGTGAATCTGATCTCTTTTATTAGACCAACTAAATAGTTGGAGAACAATATTTAAGCAAGCTTTTGGGTTTAAAAACCCTTCATCAGGCTAAGGAAGTTTCAGCAGTTGATGTGTGCTCTTCCTGGATGGAATGAAAAGTAAAAAAGCCAGAGGCTGGGCTGGTATGCATACAAGGCAGGCAGTCAGTGAAAATGTATGAGGAGTCAATGGGTGAGAGACAGGCTGGGTGTGGGGGGGAAGAGAAGGGGGATGAATAGTGGAGAAGTACCTGGGAAGTCAGCTGTCAGGCAGGTTATAATGTGTCATAAATCCAATGTCTATATTTAGTCCATGATTTTTAGTATCCAGGAGGTTGATGAAGTGAAGTTCATAGGTGGTGAAGATGTGTTGGTAGGTTTCGCATTTCTTGTCATGGCATGATCTGGATCCATTTGGTGTGTTCTGGGTCTGAGGAAGTTTGCTTCTGGACATACCAAATGGATCCAGACCATGCTATGACAAGAAATGCAAAACCCACCAACAGATCTCCACCACCCCCACAATTACTACACCCCACAACAGAGCCATCAGCATTCCCAGATTTTACAGATGCACCTCCAGAAATGTAATATATCTCATCCAGTGCACCAAATGCCCTGACGGAAAATATGTAGGAGAAACCAAGCAACAACTGTGCACCAGAATGAATGCACACCAGAAATCTATCAAAGACAGGAATACCCAATTACCTGTGGGGGCACATTTCTCACAAGAAAACTACTCCCTCTCCAATCTCTCATTCTTGATCCTCAAAGGAAACTTACAAAACACTTCCCAGAGATGAGCCTATGAAGTCCACTTCATCAAACTCTTGGATACTAAAAATCATGGACTAAATATAGACATTGGATTTATGACACATTATTACCTGGGAAGTCAGCTGTCAGTCAGGTTCTTCTTCACTATTCATCCCCCTTCTCTCCCCCCCAACCCAGCCTGTCTCTCACCCATTGACTCCTCAATCTACATTTTCACTGACTGCCTGTCTTGTATACCAGCCCAGCCTCTGGCTTTTTTACTTTTCATTCCATCCAGGAAGAGCACACATCAACTGCTGAAACTTCCTTAGCCTGACGAAGGGTTTTTAAACCCAAAAGCTTTCTTAAATATTGTTCTCCAACTATTTAATTGGTCTAATAAAAGATATCAGATTCACCCAAAGAACCTTGTCTGCCTATGCCCTTAGACCAACACAGCTACAACCTACACCCTTATACATACATATACACACACATATACATCAGTCCCTCATATACATACATATACATCAGTCCCTCATATACATACATATACACACACATACAGAGGGACCGATCTATACATCCATCTATATCTTGGTCTAGATAGATAGATAGATAGATAGAGATCTCCCTCTCTACATACTCTCTACATAGAGGGACTGATATATAGAAAATGTGGCTAACATTTATTTTAAGAATAATGGCTGCTCCCAACCAGCTCTCTTTCAGCCAGATCAGCGTTCTGTGCAGACACCAATTATTGTGCGACTACTGTCTGGTTGGTCCTTCAGACATCCTACACTTTACTCACTGCTCCTCATGCTGGTCCCTTTCCCAAGCAACTGGCTACTTCTCTTTGCAGCCAGAACTCACTTCACCAAGTCCAGGACCTCCCAGCCTGCAACGGGTGGGATGGGGAAGAGGACGGACAGGTGGATCAAGGGGGTGCTGCCAATTCCCAGGGTGCTGTGTACTCTTGGGCAGGGGAAGGACTCCCCAATGTCTTCTCAGCTTTTAAAACAGTATTCCCTCCCCTTCCTCAAGCTGCTTGTCCATTTCATCCCATTAGCAGCAATTGATCAATCTTCCGGACACCAGGAGGATTTGGACTGGGTGGTGGCTAGAGGGGGTAGCA